AGAGAGAGAGAGAGATCACAAGTAGGCAGAGAGGCAGGCAGAGAGAGGAGGAAGCAGGCTCACCGCCGAGCAGAGAGCCCGATGCGGGGCTCGATCCCAGGACCCTGAGATCATGACCTGAATCGAAGGCAGAGGCTTAACCCACTGAGCCATCCAGGCGCCCCCAAGACAGAGAATCTTAAGCAGAGTCCACACCCAGCATAGAGCTGACACAGGGCTCCATCTCACAACCCTGTGATCAGAGCTGAAATCAAGTCAGATCCTTAACCAGCTGAGCTACTCAGGTGCCCCCTCTCCTCCTCATTAATTTTCTTAGGTCAGTCAGTCTAAAGGAATACAGTATATATCTCTTCTAGTGATATATAAGAAAGGAGAGTTAATGTTACTAAAACGGCGCGGCATGAGTTGAATAAAAGTAAAAAGTGCACTGCCGGGGCACCTGGGTGGCTCAGTGGGTTAAAGCCTCTGCCTTTGGCTCAGGTCATGATCCCAGGGTCCTGGGATCAAGCCCCGCATCAGACTCTCTGTTCGGCAGGGAGCCTGCTTCCTCCTCTCTCTCTCTGCCTGCCTCTCTGCCTACTTGTAATCTCTGTCTGTCAAATAAAATAAATAAAATCTTTAAAAAAAAAAAAGTGCACTGCCTGGGTGAATATCTAACTTAAAGTCCAGGCACTGTCATGGGATGTGCTTAAGTGGACATTATATGTTCCTGGGGGAACTGTTGAAAAATACCATAATTAGGTAGTGTGGCTCTCCTTTTTTCTATTTAGTGGGGTGAACTAAGGGAGAAATTTTTTTATCTCCCAAACTCTTAAATGTTGGTGAGAAATATGAATAAAGATCTAAGTTCAAAGATACTCATCACAACATTATTTTGTTGTAAAAATTAGCAGCTTCCCTGGGGGCACCTGGGCGGCTCAGTGGGTTAAAGCCTCTGTCTTCAGCTCAGGTCATGATCTCAGGGTCCTGGGATCAAGCCCTGCATCAGGCTCTCTGCTTGGCGGGGAGCCTGCTTCCCTTCCTCTCTCTCTGCCTTGCCTCTCTGCCTACTTGTAATCTCTGTCTGTCATACAAATAAATAAAATCTTCAAAAAAAAAAAAAACTTCAAAAAAAAATAATAGCTTCCTAACTATACAATAATAAGGAAATAGTTAAAAATTATGGTACATGTGGGGTTCCTGGTTGGCTTAATCAGTAGAACATGCCACTCTTAATCTTGGGGTTGTGAGTTCAAGCCCCACTTTGGGTGTAGAGATTACTTAAAAAAAAAATTTTTTTTTTTTAAGATTTTATTTATTTGACAGAGAGAGACACAGTGAGAGAGGGAACACAAGCAGGGGGAGAGGGAATAGCAGGCTTCCTGCCGAACAGACATCCTGATGTGGGGCTCAATCCCAGTACCATGGGATCATGACCCGAGCTGCAGACGCTTAATGACTGAGCCACTCAGGTGCCCCTTAAAAATAAAATATTTAAAAAAAATTATGGTACATGTATGTAGTAGAATATTAGATAACTATTAAAGTGACTGGTAAAAGTAATAATGGAGAAAATGGCCACAGGTTTTTTTTTTTTAAATCACATTTTAGTAGTAGAAAAGACATGGTATAAAGATGTTCTGTGTAATGTATACTACATAAAAATTATTAGATATGGAAATACATGCAATGTGGACACAAATTCCATAGAAATATGGAAAAAAATTTAGAAAAATTTATCTGAAAACACTGTGCTGTTGATAGCAGTTATCTCTTAGTTATGGATTATGGCTCATTTTTCTTTTCTTTTGTGTGTATGTGTTTTCTGTAAGTATAAAGAAGCCTATCAAGGACCTTTTCTGGTCTTATTAACAAGGATGAAGGGGATGCCTAGCTGGCTCATTCAGTTAAGCACCTGCCTTTGGCCCAGTTCATGATCTCAGGGTCCTGGGATCGAGCCTCACATCAGGCCCAATGCTTAGCAGGGAGCCTGCTTCTCCCTCTGCCCACTGCTCCCCCTCCTTGTGCTTTCTCTCTCTGACAGATAAATAAATAAAATCTTAAAAAAAAAAAAAAAAAACAAGAATGAAAAAATTTTTAATCCTGTTAGTATTTGAAAGCAAATTTTCAGAATATATTAAAGTGAAGATAAATGTGATAACTTCTATAAATTCTTGAGTATGGTGTTTGGAATACAATAGGCGTATAATAAATGAGACCTGCTGTGGCTGTTGTTGGTACTTGAGGAAGATGACCTCCTCTGACCAGAGCCCAGGGTGGTTATCCTGAGAAAATAGCCTTTTCAAGCAACTTCCTGTGCTTCTCGGGTCAGTAAATATGCTGTGTTTCTGTATGTACTGGCCCAGGATCTTAAAAAAGCTGGTGGGCGGGGCGGGGCGGGGGGGCAGTTTGCTGCGCTGTAGGACCAGAGCAAAATGTTTGGGTTTTCTGCTCTGAAGGTATAAAGGAAATTCTTGTAGAGAGTGGCCTAGGAGTGATTCCCCCTCTCCCTCACTGTGACTTTTTTTTTTTTTTTAGTTTTGATATTATTTATGATTCCCACTACAAGTTACATTTTACCTCTTTTCTGGGTTGTCTCCTTAACAACCTTCATTCTCCTTAATATCTCCTTAATTCTTGAAAAATTTGAAACAGTGTAACAGGAAGCATTTTCTCTGTTCTAGGAATTTCTGGAACTCTGTCTATTGCTTCTCATGTTAGTCTGCTCTTACGGGTCCCTTGGAACTCAGTGCTGACAAAAGAGATGTAGACTTCCATCTACTTTGGACTTATTTGGGACCTGAGATGTGCATGTAAGAAACTGTATTCAGCATATGAAAAACATACTGGAAATAGACATGTGGGTGGCTATTTTTAGTGAGCTTTAGTGTCAGATCTTAACATCTGAATGTTCTTCATAAGCTATACTTCTTAATAGTAAGTGACTTGTATAATAAATACATGTTTAGTAAAGTCCTAGAAAGAATGATTGTAGTTTCTTACCATGGCTTTTATGTCTGAAACGATGTTCTCTTCTACAATGCAGGAAAATGTGAATGTACTTAATGCTACTACTGAACTGTATTCTTAAAAATGAATAAAATGGTAATTTTTATATTACATCTGTTTAGCACAATTAAAACAGAAATGAGCCAGATGAAAATGTACAGTTTCCAAGCTAATTTTGACCCTGACCATTCAGATTCTGTCTACTTCTTAGCATTCACTTACCATCATGTACCACAAGGTGGGGACCGAAGTTTCTTGTTGCATCCAAAGATATTATATCAGTTATTGGCGAAAAGCATGCCAGGAAAGCAGGATACCTTGTAATATGTCAGGTGGATTTTAGAATGTCAATGAGTGGGCGCCTGGGTGGCTCAGTGGGTTGAGCTGCTGCCTTCGGCTCAGGTCATGATCCCAGGGTCCTGGGATCGAGTCCCGCATCGGGCTCTCTGCTCAGCAGGGAGCCTGCTTCCCTTCCTCTCTCTCTGCCTGCCTCTCTGCCTACTTGTGATCTCTGTCTGTCAAATAAATAAATAAAATCTTTAAAAAAAAAAAAAAAGAAATTTAGAATGTCAATGAGTATCACTGGGGAGAATGATGGGTTGTTTCATTCTAGTCTCCTTGTCTAGTTTGTAATTATCTTGTTTCCTCTTTGCTTCAAGAAGGTCTACAGCTGAGGGAGAAGGAATGGGGGCATATGGTATGTGAAGAGCTAATATATTATTTCCTCATTTGGACATGGCAGTTTTTTTCTCTAAGCATAGTGAGGGTGCTGGGGGAGGGGAATGTAGAGAAGACAGACATAGAATTCGAAGGACGTATGAACTGTGGTTTGCAAGATATGGAGAATAAGAACCTGAGATCTGTGAGTTTTGAGGCTTATTTTAACAGTTCAAAAAAAATTGTGGGAAAAGGTTAGCTGTCTTAAATTAAAGCTTTTAGCTCTCCCTGTATATTGTGGCATGGGAAGCTTCAATGCCGTAACTTTAGTGGGGAAGGCAGCACTCCCTAATTACTAATCCTCAATTTATCTTGGTGTTGGTTTTTCACAATTCAAGGGTTCCCGAATTTCTCTACTGAAGTTAAACAGGGTAAAATCTCTGGAGTTTTTGGGATCCCTTGTTATTTGCATAGATTCATTGTCATTGCTGTCCACTCTTTCTCCCCAGTATTCATTTTTAGTATATCAGAATGGCAGGATTTCTTATTTGTCTGTAGAGACTATTTTTTGACAGTATTTGCAGCAGTTTCTGTGGGAAATGCATTATTAAAAAAAAAGAAAAAAAAAAAGGAGGAGGAGGAGGACAGAAAAGGCAGAGGGAATCTTGTCTTGTAGCTCTTAGTGATAGAGCCTGTTGCCATGGAGTCCTGGATCAGATTGGCTGACCTGGGGGCCAATGAGCAGATAGAACATATACATATCATCATTTAACCTTGCAGAATTCATTTACTCA